AGACAGGGTTTCACTATGTTGGCCAGACTGGTCTTGAACTCCAGACCTCATGATCCATCTGCCTTGGCCTCCCAAAGTGCTGGGTTTACAGGCATGAGTCACCGCGCCCAGCCTCATTGATCTTTTAATGAAATAAAATATCTGAAAGAGCTTTAACCATTAATGCAAGTGTGATTTATACTTTGAAGACTGTTATTTCCAGTAGTACTTGCTCCAGGAAAGCTTGCAGGAAGAAGAGTACTTAAAGTTTTAGGAGTTGAGTAATATTATATAATTACTGAACCCAGAAAACAGACGTAGTGTCTCTGTGACAGTTGGACAATTAAGATTCTGTATCAGTGTTAGATGTTTAGAATCCTACCTTATAGATGGCACGTATCATCACCTTTCTAGACTGGAATACATGTCACTCCACCCTGCCCCTGCCTTCTTAGCTATGGAATGTCTCCATATTCATTCCTAAAGGTCTACATGTAATCCTTTATTTAAAACGCAGGGTAGTCCATCTCTATGTCAGACTCCTGAATTAACGTAACACAAAATTAATAAAACACACAGACTGACTTGAATATCATCAGAGCTCATGAGCTGACGAGCTAGTGCTTTAAAGAGGACAGGCGATCTGTTTTGAGGTTGTGGCAGTCATTAAAAGGTGCTTGGCATATTGCAGATATTTCACATCACAGACATTCTGAATGTTCTGTCCGCAGATTAAAGCCTGTCATGAGTTTTCCTCTAGTGTTTACCACTCACACTGGTTTTGTGGCAATACTGTATTCTTAGTAGTATTCTACAGTTTTTTTGTTGTTGTTGTTGCTTTCAGTAAAATTAGATGAAAATATGCTTATGTATTTATGAGAATGTGTCAGTCAAATATTTCTTCTCTGTGTAAGGCACAAATCCTCTGCCTTATCTGCTTAATAGGTAAGGTATCAGTATTACTTCCCCACCCCCACCTTCCTCCCCAGGAAAAGAGCTGACAAGGAATGCAAACATTGCAGGAAACCACTGTTGTGATGGTTTGTGTTTCTGCTTAATTACCAGTTAAACAGTGATGTGCTTTTGTAGTTGTGGAGTTAAAACTTTTTCTCAAGTTTGTAGAATAGTACATTTAGTAAAACTGCTTCCAAAGGAGTTATATTGTCCTTTAGTTTGTTGACAGGAATGAGCTATGGAATTTTGTAGTTAATTTCAAATTCCAACATATAATGTTAATGAGGTACTGGTATGATTTTAAATCGGCCTGAGGCTGACATTAAGATAGTTTTCAATTGGAAAAGCCTCTTTTAGTACTGTCCCCTCCATCTTGTTGCTGTGAGACCTGACTGGGAATAACCTGCACAATGCACATAGAAGAAAGTGCTTAAGAATGACAGTGGATAGG